TCACTGGTCCCACAGCCAGGTTCAGCCAGAAAGATGAGTCTCAAGCAAATTGGTATTTAAAACAGCCTCTGAAATGCCAGACTCTGTCCCTTCTACCTTCAGGATCTCCTTCCCTGGAGCTTCCCACCCTAGGGCTGGCCAGAGGGATTTCCCCTCTCCAGCAAGGGAGGATGTCTCCCCTCCAGCCCTGCAGGCCAAGCTCAAGGCTTTCTCAAGCTGAGTGCTGCTGCCTGAAGGAATTGGATTTTTGGAAAATCCCTGAGGCGGCAGCAAGCCTGGAGCTCATCTCCCTGCACCTCCCCATGCCTCCAGCCAGTGGCTGGTGTGACTCCAGCTGGGACAAACTCCCATCCAGAGGCTGGCTCCAGCTCCTGGTGGTGATTAGGGCATTCCCACAGTCCCTGACAGCACTGTGGCACCAGCACACACACACAGCAAGTGCAAAGTGACCTCCAGGTGACACCTGAGGGCTCAGGACACCCTGGCTGCACTTCACCCACCAGTTCAACTCAGCTCAACCCCTACATTTGGGATGCAGATGCCAAAACCCCCACACTCAGCACCAAAACCCTTCTTGGGCCCTGCAGGAGGAGTCTGGGCTTTGGGGCACGGAGGAGATGTGCATAAACTCTCTCTGTGAGGGGTTTTCCTCCTTGTACCCTGCAATTCCTGAACACCAGGGAAGTGTTTTCAGCTACTTCAGGAAGCACAAAACCCCCACATGGATCAGTTCTGGAAAGAGGGGAGGAGCAGGGAGCATTCAGTGCCAGCAAGCAGGGTGCCACCGTCCCCAAGGCATGCCATGAGACCTCTGAGGTGTCCCCCACCCACCCCCCTCACATCCTGTACACAACACACAGATGGAAAAATGAGTAGCTCTGAAGCACTGCAAACCAGCCAGGCCTTAGCACTGGAAGCTAAAATAAACCACATCCAGAAAATCCATGGCTGAGGGGAAGCTGAGGCTCTGCCTGCCAACAGAACCCCATGTGCCACGGGGGTTTGGGGTGCAGGCAGGCACGGGGAGATGAAGAGGTTAAAACTGCTGAAATGCACAAAGACAGCTTTATTTTATCCACCCACAAGCAAAATCCTCCCCCCTGAACATGGCAGGAAACAATGGGATTTCATTCACCCACATCTTGCTGTCACCCTGAAATGAAACATGGGGCCAGAAACATGCTTGGCAATTTGGGGCTGAAGATGGCCCTAAAAAAAACCCCGGACTGATCTTTTACTTTTCAGAAATCATGCAATTCCCCTCTCTAAATGTGAACTATTCACAGCTCATGACAATCCTGGCCAAAAGCCCTCAAACCTCCCTTTAAAGTGTGGGACAGAGTCACTCAACTCAAGGTAAACCGTCCCAATATTTACTGTAAAAACTGGCCCATGCTAAACAACAAAGCAAAACCTACAAATATCCTAAACCAACAAATCCACCCATCTACAGCTCTGGATGTTTTACTCTACGACCTCTATTATTATTTTCCAATAAAACCATTCAAGCCAACCTTCCTTTTTTTTGGTAGCTTAGAACTCAAAACTCACTGCAGAACCTCTTGATTTGGGGTAGTTCAGTGTTTATTTTTTGCCTTGAAAAGAACTTTACTCCGGAGCAGTTTTGGGTTTTTTTCCCTCTCGTGCAGCAAACACAAGAACATCCAAACCTGGCTATTCTGTGCAGTAAATGTTACCCACAAACCATCCAGAATGGAAGGTGTGGAACTGAGGGTCCACAGGCAGAGATCCCACCTAAGGACAGGATTGCTGCAGCAGCCCCCGGAGGGGGAAGGAAGATGCCTGACAGTGAGATGAGGATGGGGAAGTTGTCTCCTCTCCAGCCAAGCTGCCCCAAAGTTCGGTCCCCAACGCTGCCCTCAAGTCCCCCCTCTGACAAGAACCACGTAACCAAACATGAAATGACCATTTCACCAACAACAAACCCCACAAACCATCCCTGTTAAGGTGCAAAGGCGGCTCCCCGAGACGTTTGGGAAGGGCCCCTTGGGGACCCCCTTGTGAAATCTGTGCTTGTCTCCACTACCACTACTCTGAACTAGAAACTACAAATTACTTCATTTCTCCCGATCTCCATACAAATATAAAAGCTGAAGCTATTCCAACCCCATAGACTCTAATTTTTCTACATTACAGTGCCGGAGATCACTTCCAAACCCGGACCTGCGCTCCCACCTCCGCTCCTCTCCCCACATGACTCTGCCTTCTCTGGCCCAGGCAAATCTCCAAGTGCAGCTAAAGCTTCTTCTTGCACTAACACACATAATTTAAGGGAAGGGGGACAAGACAGTGAATTAAACAATGTTTACACAGTTATTTTACACTGCACCCAAATGCTTCAAAATCCTCTCCACCTTCCAGGAGATCACCCGGCTTTCCCAGCAGCACCAAGGTTCTCCAAGCTTTCCTTTCTTTTCCCTGCTCCTTTTTTTAACCACCAAAATTGGAAATCTGGCAATGGGAGCCCTTGGCCCAATCTCTGCATTCAGGGCAGAATTTTCCCATGGTTGGGTCTTTTTCCTTCATGAAGAGCAAGGAGAAAGAAGGGAACTGTCCTGGCCATATCCAGGTTCAGCTGTGACACATCCAACTGAATTCCACAGCAATTAGCCAAAGGGAGGAAGAAATATGGAAACACCAGTGGCTGACCTGCTCATAGTGTTTTAGTCATGGATAAAGTGCAGAGGAAGGGGGATTGCAAGGAATCTGGGATGAGGGGAAGGGTTTGGAGGTGCAATGCCCACCACTGCCACAGCCTCCAGAGAAAACAGCTCTGGCTGCTGGGTTTCTGCTGGGATTTATCATGGACTGGGTCACAGCTAGGGCTTGTTTTGTTCCCAACATGCTCCAAGGGTGTGAGGGTTCCAAACAAGCAACAAGAGTGGCTAAACACGAGCCAAGGAGCGGCAAAGGGGTGGAGAATGGAGTGAAAGCATCTGGAACCACGATTCCTGTGGGATCTCCAAGTGCCAGGGGGCCTTGCTTGATTCCGCACCTGGATGGCTCCAGGAGCAGCCTCTGCAAAGTGCAAACACATCCCCTGACAAGCCTGGGAGCTCTCCAAGCCAAGCCCCACCAGGATCCAGCCAAGGAGAGCTTCCTCCACCCCCTGCCTTTCCCCCCTGCCAGGAGTGACTGGGTGACAACAGCCCTGGGTGACCTCAGCCAGCAGGTCCCTTCCAGCTCAGGATATTCTGGGATCTCCTGACCTTCCAAGGGAGCTCTGCCAACTGCAGGGCTGGGAATTCTCCCCACAGACCCACAGTCCACAATACCTCAACACAGTTATGCCAACACTTAGGGGGAAAACCACATTTAGGTTAAAAGCAACCACGCTACCACTTAATTAAAGCAGCACTTGGCTTGCCTGGATGCATAATTTTTCCTGTAATAGACTGGAATTTCCTCTCCTAAAAATATTCTGTGCTTTTTCAAGGGCTGGCCTCAGAAGATTTTTAGGAAAGGACCATGAAATTTGTCCTCCTGCAATCTGCCTGGTTGCCCTTGTTTCTCAAACATCACCCTCAGCCTTGTCAGAGGAAGGTGGCCCAAAGAGAGCATTAAACAATCTACAGAAAATCATCTCAATTAAGGAAAAAAAAAAAAGCCAGCTCTGAAAAGGAATGTGCACTTTGAACCCTGGGTTTGAAACACTGGACTTGTTTTTTGGGATACAAATGCCCTGGATGCTCCTGGGGGGAGCTCTAGCACCTCTGGGATTGCCATTCCCGAATCCCTGCTGCGGCAAAGCTCCTGAGCACCAGCACACAGAGGGGGCTTCACAGCATCCCACATCAGCTGGGCTGTCCCCTCCCTGAGGGACCACCTCCAAGTACCAAATGTCAGGAATGGTGGAGAAGTGGCAGTTCAGACAGACACCTTTTCTGAATTAAAAAAAAAATAAAAAACCTCAAATATTTAGAAGTATCCCAGGGGGAAGGGAATCAGCTGTGTCTGGTGCAGTCAGCCTTGGCTGGCTGGAGAAAGATTCCCTCCCCCAGATACTCAAAGGTCTAGAATACAACAAAGTACAAAAGGACAACACCACCAAAGAGGAGAAGTTGGTCAATATCCCTGTGGTTCCACCTCAAGGCTTGTTTTTCAGCCACAATTTTGCCTCAAATCCATAATTTTTAATTTTTTTGGTTTTCCTTAAGATAACCACGTGGCATTTCTTCTTTTGCATTTTGTCCACATTCAGTTTATTTAGCAACACCTCCTCCCATTTGTGTGCGGAGTGAAACCCAGAGCCCTGAGGAAGAGCACCACCAAAGGTTTGGGAAATACACAGGAGCAGGCAGATCTGCAAATTATTCTGCTGTGTGCACCTCCCTGCCTTCACATAATTGCTCCTTTGCCATCCAATTCAGTTGAGTTTTCAACTTTCTCCATGATAAACCATGCCCCCATCGCCACACTGCCATAAGCCACTTCTAACGAAAAACAACAAAAAAAAAATCACTTTTCTGCCTGCCAAAACCTCTGCTTCCCCACGCCAGAATGCTGCTAGTGGGAGGCAGGAGAAGCTGGGATGCAAGACCAAAATGGCCCAATCAGGTATTAAAAGTTGGAATTGAAAGGAACTGTCCAGGACACTTGCACAAGCCATTTTTCTCGCCGAAAGCAGCCCTGCCCGCCGTGCTGAAGGCTATCAATTCTGAACTTAATCAAATCTGATCTTTCCCCAGCCAGAATGGGCCTTTTTGTCTTGGCTTGTGAAAGCTTCCTGACTTCTGGAGTAAAATATATTTACAGTGCTGAGGAACAGCCTCTTTTCTCCTTCCTAAATGCTTTTTTTTTCTTTCCCTGATCTCCTTCTGATATGTTGTTCCTCACAGGCTTTGGAAAGAAGAGTTCACTGCTGGGAATATTATCAATGTACAATAATGATCTGTAACCCACAGATCCTACCTAGTTGCACATTATTTAGTTCACATCCATTACAGTTTATAAATTAACAGAGATGTAATTTTCTGTACAAAAAAAAAAAAATCAATGTATATTTACGGTCCTTTTTTTTATTCAAATAGATTTTAAATACATAGAATCTAGAGACACAATACAAAAATCTGTATAAGTTAGGCAATGCATCACAGGAGTGACCAAAAAACTCAACACAATTTACCTTGGCAAAATGACAGAACCTATTTCTGCTGGCTGAAAACATAAAAAAAAAAATTTAAAAAAAATTAGCCTTTATGCATTTATTAATTTCACCAAACGCACTTGAAATGTTGTTTTCCACAGCGGTATTCATTATTCCTTTTTGTGTTTCAGGCTTACCCTTATTTATTTTTTCCATTTTGTTTTTACACCAAGGAGACTGCAGTCAAATAACACTCAGCAACTCATTTCCTCTCTTTGGACTGAAAAATTAAACAGATACTAAATTATGACAGTGAATTTAGAAAGGAGGGCTCCAAGGGCTCGAAAGAACATGTCTGAGATAATATGATGCTTCTAAGAATATTGCAATCACATCCAAGCAATCACCGAAGCGTGCCATGTAACTACCTCCTCAGCTAATATGCTTTTTTCTCCGTGATGACTAATCATGTTCTATTAAACAGCAGTAATGCTGGAAGAACTCAACTATACAAGTGTAATGAAGCCAGTATTCTCCCCGGACAGATTAGCTACAACTGATTTGACACATACCATCATAGGAGCTTCAAACCTGACAAACTCTGTGCTTGCTTCTGATTTATGCCGTCAAGCTCTTCGGGAGAAGAGAATGGAAATCCAGGCGCCGCAGAGGTGAAATGTTCTGATGTGCTTCACTGTCACTTAGGGAAAGTCACCGTCTCTCCTTCCTTCTTTCCTTCTTTCTTTCCTTCCTTCCGCTCCGGCTCGCCTCTCCCTGCGGTGCCGGTGCCACCCGGCACGGCCCCCAAACCCAGGGCCTGCCCGGCACGGCCCCCAAACCCAGGGCCTGCCCGCAGCCCCCGCGCTCCTCCCGGGCCCCCCGCGCTCCGCTGGCACTTGGGATGGACGCAGGGAAAAGGGAGGAGGAGGAGGAGAGGCAGCGGACTCACAGAGCGGAGCTGCGATGGTGATGGAGGAATGTGAGGCTGCGGCCGCCGCCGGGCTCAGCCAAAGCGCTCCCCTCAGATGATGGTGGGCATCCTCCCGCCGCTGTTGTTGCGGTTGTTGTTCTTCCTGGACAGGTTTGGGGTGGCCATGAGGGCGAAGCGCTCGTCGGGGCAGCCGTACTGCAGCAGCACGTCGATGCACTCCTGGCTGGAGGCCTGGCGGGCGTAGGCCAGCGCCGTGTTCCCGTGGGCGTCGCGCGCCATCACGTCCACGCCGTACTGCGGGGTGACAAGAGGGGGAATCACAAACCACAAATGTCACCTGAGCTTTGGGAGCTGGGGTGTGACAATTTGGGGAGGGGGTCTGGGATTGGAGGTGAGGGAGGGTGAGGGAGCAGCCTGGCAACAAGAGCACGGCAGCGCTGAGCCACATACGGAAAAAATGTTTCTGAGGGAGGGATAAAATCTGCCCTAGCAGACTCCAAGCTAAGGGAATCTCTCCTTCCTCCTTTCCCATGCTCTCCTTCGCTTTCCAACAAGCAGCAGAGAGGCAGAAATGTGCTTTTCTACCACCCTCTGAAAGCATGCAGTGAGGAACACCCACCCCGAGGCCATGGTGCCCTGAACCCCTCCAGGAGCATCTCTGGCCCATCCTGCTGAGGGACACAGTCCCTAGCAGGAGTCCTTACCCACATGAGGAGGCCATGAAGCCCTCCAGGAGCAGCCCTGGCCCATCCTGATAGAGGGCAGCAAGTCCTTACCCAGATGAGGAGCTTCAGCAGCTCCACCCTGAGGCCATGGTGCCCTGAAGCCCTCCAGGAGCAGCTCCAGCCCATCCTCCTGAGGGAGGGCAACGAGTCCCTACCCATGTGAAAAATGCATATTTTGTGATTGGCTTTTCACAAGTATTAAAATGACTATTATACGTCTTGTGTTAGAAAGTGATGCTGTATTAATTCTCTTAAGTAGTGTGTTAAATATAGTTTTAGGTTATAAAAGATGTTAAAATAGAAACAATGCTATGTAGGATACTTTTTTTAAAGAAAGGACTCGCAGCAAGATAGCAGCCACAGGACATCTGAATCTTTCAGAGAAAGAGAATTTATTGCCCTCTTATCAGAAGAAACGAACTTCTTCCCACCTCGAAGGCACCGTTAGGATTCAGAGGAAGAAGTTGAGGATGACCAGACGGAATCCTGTGTTTGAATGGAATTTATGCATCATGTATGAAGTGTATGTATATGCAACATATAAGGTTTTTTTTTTTTAAGGGTTAATGCTCTGTTAACGTGGGTCCTTTTTCGGGTTAGTGCTTGTACCGGGACGTCCATAACTCTTTGGTTCTATTGTCTCCTATTGTCCTAATTCAAATTGTCCAAATTATCATTGCTCTAATTGCATGACTATTTTCACAACCATTTTATTACTATTAAACTTCTAAAATTTAAAAAAAACAAGCGATTGGCGTTTTTCACACCCACAGGAGGAGCTGCAGCAGCACCACCCTGAGGCCATGGTGTCATGAACCCCTCCAGGAGCAGCTCTGGCCCATCCTCCTGAGGGACACAGCCCCTGGCAGGAGTCCTCACCCACATGAGGAGGCCGTGAAGCTCTCCAGGAGCAGCTCTGGCCCATCCTGCTAAGGGAGGGCAGCGAGTCCTTGCCCACATGAGGAGGCCATGAATCCCTTCAGGAGCAGCCCTGGCCCACCCTCCCGAGGGCCCCAGCCCTGGCAGGAGCCCTTACCCAGATGAGGAGCTGCAGCAGCACCACGTTGCCCTTGCGGCAGGCCAGGTGCAGGGCCGTGCGCCCGTCGCCGTCGCCGCAGGTCTCGTTGACCTCGTCGCGCGTGCCGTGGGCCAGCAGCAGGATCACCGTCCTCAAGTCCTCCTCAGCCGTGGCCCTCAGGAGGTGCTGGCCCAGAGAGAGCTCCAGGCACTGCAGAGGGGCGAGGAAAAGCTTCTGCTCGTACTTGGCGCGTATCCAGAGCTCTTTTTCTTCCCTAGGGGAGCCAGAGGGGACAGGTCACTCTCAGCTGGTGTTGCAGCCCACAGTGCTCAAGCAACAAGGAGGTTGTTTCCCCTTTCAAATTTATGTCAAGAAAGCCCTCACAGGAACAGTTCAGCCAAACCTTAGGAGCAGTTCACCCAAACCTTGTATTTTTAGCAATATTTGTGTTGTCCACCTTGCTGTTCCAGCGCTCAGGACCCTCCTTGATGGATGCTGTGCCAGCATCCATGGGGTTGGAAGATCACAACAGCCAGGAGGTCTTAAAAAGCCCTGGGCCAGCAAGAGTTCAGGGCAAGAGCTCTCACTTTGGTCACAAAGACACGACAAGGTTCCACTTCAAGGCTGGAAAACACAGTGCAAAAAAAATGCACCCAATTTCTGTAACCCAGACCAGAAGTAACCAAATGGGGGCTTTGTCCCCCTCCAAACTGAGTAATGCTCCCAAAGGCATAAGGATGATTCCTCTTGTTTTGCCAAAATTCAAACCAGTGCTTTGAAGCACCTTTTCCTCCTGATATATCAAAGAGCCATGAGAAGCTTTCTGGTGCTATCAGGTTACAGCAGAACAAGGACTACAAACAAGGCCCTCCACTCGCCCCATTTCAAAAATTACCATACAATTACATGATCTGAGAACAGCAGCCCCAGACAAAAAAGTCCCATTTAGAGGTCCCTCAGGTAATCTGCTCAGCCTGTGAAAACCACAAACATCACCTGAGCCAGGCAACTGGGTCCTGGTGACAGATTCTCTCCTCTGGAGTACAAAAGGCCAAGCTCTGTTTACGCCTTTCAGCCGTGTTTACACTGCTCCCAGTAATCTAGTGTCAGGTTAGCCCTAATCTGTTTTTAAATACTTATGTAAACATCTCCTTCCACCAGCAAATCTGGATTAGTTTTGCATCATTTCCTGGGACATGTGGAGTGACCTTGCTGTGACCTGCCTGGATGCTTTCAGGCACAGCTTCCCAAAGCAGGCACAGCTTCCCTGCTCTGGCCACAGTTTGCCCCACTAAGAGGGCCAGGCCTTTTCTTCAGAGCAAAAGTGCAAACAGAAAATTAGCACAGAGAGTGCTTCTTTTACCTCAAGCCTCTGAATGGCTCCTGCAAAACTAAAAGACACACGAAAAAAAAAAAGCCCCCCCACAACCCATTTGGGCAGTTGCAAATTAACCTTTGATGGCAGGATCTGATAAATGGAGTATGGCTGCAGGTATTCCAGATGGAGAGGAGGAAGAAAAGGAGTTCTGTTATCAGAATCTTTAATTCATGGTTTTTCTAATTACATTTTTTTAAGGTAAAAAGCTGAACTGGAACCAGTGCCATGAAAGGGATAAACTAACACATAATTATCTACAATAAAATGGGCATTCTTGCAACAACTCTGCTCCCAATATCCAGCTAGATTATCTTCAAGGATGTTAGCAAAGATCTCAGATGATTTTTAAACTCACACAGAGGTACTGAGAGTATAACCAACACATCCACTCCATGTTTAAAAAGTGCCAGACTGGAAAATGAGGTGACTCAACCTGCGCTGTTCACCCACAATAATGCATACCAGGGCTCTGGAAATTTGTTTTTCATATGTCCATACATCCTAAAGGCAAAATACTCCTCAGATATGTAAGCAATATATTTTTTTTAGCTTAGTGAAGGGTCTGCAAATGAAACTCCCTCTCCCCCAGACCATCTTTGGAGTGAGAGAAACTTTTGACTCCTATCAGAGCACGGGTGGCTCAAGAAAAAGTCCCTTCCTATCGAGAAAAAAAGCTGTTTGACACAAATCTCCCACTTCCAATCGCCATTCAGCCTAAACTGTAACAGTGAGGCTAAAAGGAGAGAATAACTGCTTAGTTCAGGCAGAGGCTCTCCAAGCTTGAGGCTGGCAGGTTCAAAAACCTATCAGCACCAATTTCACATTTGCTGTGTGTTGTGTGGGCAACCCTGATGCTCCTGGAAGGATGCAAGAAAGAGAGACAGGGATATCCCAGTCCTGTTCAGCTTTGTCCTACTGCCTCAAAAGGCTGGGGAAAGAAGAGGAACCTCTTTAAAAGCCAATGTCACAGGAAGGGGAATGTGCTGCCACCTGCCTCAGTGCTGGGCACCAAATGAATTCACTCAGTAAGGTCCAGTTCCACCTCTGGAGCCACATCAAGGATTGTGGTGGAATTATAAATCAAAATAAAGGTGTTTCAGAGGCCCCAGACATTTGGGGCAGCACATCACTGACATCAGTATGGAGTGGGATTCAGGTCTTTTTCAGCAGTACTAACTGGGCACGAGGAAGATTTGGATGTTAGGGATGAAAACAAAACCTCATCAGAGGTGGGAGGAAAAGTACACTGGACTACACCTCATGGACAGCCACAACACACAGGGATTGCTCTCCAACGAGCATGTCCACAATCATCCTGCCTCCATCTCTGGCACAAACCCCTTCATTTAGATGGGAAGTCCTGGGGACTTTCCTGCTCCACTGCTTGCATTCATCTCAGAAACCCTGACAACAAGACATAAATACTGCAATTGTTACTCTGATGCCCCAGTTTCACTTCTGGGATCCACAGCTTGTCTTGGTTGAGGTCTCATTTCCCCCAAGGAAGGCCAGTCCAAGAGCAGAGTTGTCAGCAGTAGATCACTTAACCTCATTGCAGTTCCCTGGAGGACCACTGCTCACATCCCCTGTTAGTTAATGAGCTAAAAAATGAATTATTGGAGCGGTCAGCAATAAGCAGGAAGAGGAGGCACAGTGTTTCATTTCAGCCAGCACTGACATACCTTTAAATAAATCAACTGAAGAAGAGCATGAGGAAGTGTGAGGGAGAGCAACTCATCAGGAGAAAGACACTGAACCAGTCCCTAAAATAAAGGCTAGTAAATATTGCCCTCTTTTCCTCCCTTAATTGCAAGCCTGGCAATTCTAAAGGACCCTCTCCGTACCAGGCACTTCCAGCTGTAGTAGTCAAAGCCAAACCAGGACTCTTTCAGTAAACTTTCACCAGTGGAGTCCTTGTCTCAGGAGCAAATCAAAGCTGCTGTGCTGTAGAGGGAACATATTCATGTGCTCTGATGGTCCCAATGACACCAAACACTGGAGGAGGTCTGAGCTGCCTCTTCCTCATATTCAGAAAAACGAATACATTATGAGCTCCTTGATAAACTTAGAGAAATGAGCAACAGAGCCCTAAGGTCAGAAGTTCTTTGAGCCTTTTCTCTCTAAATATCTGTGTTCAAACCCTGATCTGTATCTGCTGGTGCAGACTCCAAACCTCACTGAGCTTGCCCCTCACACAAGGGGCACATACAGCAGAAAATCACTGCAAAACACCCCACAGAACCAGGAATGAGTCACCAATGTTGTCCAGAAAGTGCCACCAAGCTCTCTGCTCCTGCAGGAGCCTCCATCACTCGTGAACCCCAAGAACACACAGTGGTGTGAACAACAAAATCCCTGCTGCAGCAGCAGCACTGTACACAGGTAAAAGGTTATTAGAAACAGATGAAAATTTCAGTTCTCCGTTTATTTTGATCTAATTAGGTGCTTGCTTCTCAAGATAATGTCCAATTATTTAAATTACTCTGCCAGCCACATCACATCATTATTATGTGGAAACATAAATACTGGGCACTGGAAGGGGGGAAGGTAAGCAGGGAGCATCAGAGAAGAGGAAAAGCAGATTTGCTTCCAGCACAGCCTCGCTCCAGGAGCTGCCCTGTGCTCCCCAGCTGTGGGCTTGCACTGGAGATGCTCCTTGAGGAGCCCACATCCCACACAGCTCAGCCCCATCATGTGCTGCACTGGGTTTTCCACCCTACCAATGCCATCAGAAGCCTCATCCTGCTGGTACCCACCCTCCATCCCGACTCCTCCTCGCTCCCATTCACCTCTGCCTTCACCTCCACTTGCCCCTCACAGATATTTGGTGGAGTCACATCAGCAGGCAAACAAGAAGAGGATGTGCAGGGTGGGAAAAGAAGTGGTGCTCATGCAGCGACCCAGAACTGCCTGAGTGGGCAACAGCACGTGGCTGGAGAGCCTGGGAATTGGCCATCAGAATTCCACAGCTCCAGAGCAAGAGCAGCCTTGCTCTTCCCAAAGCATGACTAAAAGAATGACTAAAATGTCATGTCGTTATCCAGAGTTACTCACCACTTGTTAAAAAGCTGGAAAAAATTCTGAAGGTTGAATTTAGAAAGACAGTGGACAGCAGGTATTTACCATGGCCCAGCATTGATTTCCCACCACCAGAAATGAGAGCAGGCTCCTTACAGGTGCTTTGAAGTGAAGTTTTATCCTCCACACCTCTGACAACACTGAAAAGCTCCTGATTTTTTTTCATCCTTTCTTCTCTCCTGCTACAGGAACTAATTCTGTAAGGGAAGAGGCCTCTCAGTGGTGTCTCCACGGTGGCTGTGCAGGTGCTGTGCCCGTGTGTTGCCATTTCTGGTTGCTCACTGAAGTACAACCCTTTAACGCCGTGGTAACCTGGCCAGCTCAGCAAGAGCTCTGCCAAATTTCCTCTCCTGTTGGCCAGCTGACAAGGTTAATGTGTCTCTTCCAAGAAAATGAAGTAAATCTAAGCCACTGCACCTCCCAAACTCCTGGAAGAGCCCCAGGATGTGTCATTAGCTTCGTGGTCCAGCACACAAGGAGCACATATCACCTAATGACCAGCTGCATGTGTGGGGCTTCCCCATTAAACATGATCCCAAAAAATGGCACTGCTTTGGACAGGGCTGGCGATGCAGGCTTGGGATGGGTAAAAGGAAAACACTGAGGGTGGGGGCAGGATTGCAATGTTGGAGAAAGGTTAAACGCAATTAAAATGATGCTTTTAATTGCAACAGCAAAAGCGGGGAGGAGAAGAAGAGAGGGCGAGAAGAAAGGGGCTAGCAGCAAGGAATTTCCAAAGTGCCTTCCTGCCCCGAGCAAAGCAGGAACTGGGAGGAGAGGCATGGAAGAGGGGCTGGGAACAATGTGCTGAGAAAACA